ACAGTATAAAAGTTCACCACATTATTATGAACCAGCAAGTTTTTAATACAAATCTCTGGATTACATTCAGTGACTCAGACAACCGTGTCCCCGCCACCCCCCGCCATCTGGGCAGCAAGTGCGACTGTGAGCTCAGGTAAGGAGCCTCGGGCAGTGACGGTAGGTAAACAGACGCTTGAGGCAAAGTGGATTAAAGGAAATTGTTCTGGACTTTGAGTTTATTGCTGCTGCGATCATCGATAGAGGCATCAACAGTGTAAAAGTTAATTACTGCATCAGGGCTGCTGAAAACCACACAATATATAAAACGGAAGCATACTGAGGTTCACTAACCTATCACTTGTCCGGATGAGCCAAGTGTGATTATGTGTATCTTTTTCTGTCGTTTTTGTCGGGTTAATCTTTAATTTCTTTGTGTTTGGGGGTGAGGGCGTGTAACGTTAAATCCCCCCTCCCCCTTTGCTGGTTTTGTATCCTTGTTGTGTGTCTGCGTGTGTTTAAACTCATCAGTGATCAATTTGTGTTATACTGGTTCTTTTTGAGTCCCTTTGTAGGTTTGTGAGATAGGATAAGATATAGCTACATTATTTATCCTACAACTTGTTACAGAAGCCTATTAAACATAACGTATAACAAATAAGCTTAGATGAAGTATAAATGCTTAAAAATAAAATAAATTACAATCTAAAACACAAAAAAACTTTAGCGTCCATTTTTATATTTGTATAATTTTTAAAGTGTGTATTTTGTGGTACAGTGCTGCGTAAACCCCGCGCCTCCTGCGGATTGGTTTACAGTGATTGGTCGGTGAGCGGTAACGTGCGGCCCTACGACTGCGACTCCATCTTTATCGTGACGTCGACCCTTGCTGGACGTAAACTTCCTTGTTGGGATTGTCAACAGTGTGGCGGTGGAGTTTAGCTAACGCTACGTGTATCTGGCAAATCCCGGCTCTGCTTCCGAACCGGTTCGAAAGTCGTTCAGCTTCCTTTCTTATTTTTTGTTTTGGGAGTTTTCAAATATAAAATGACTTTTTATCGAAGTCTCTCAGCGGTTCTCGTATCGGTATGCTGGGTTCTCTTGTCCGTGGCGGAGGATGTGAAGAACAGCACCGAAACTCGTAGAACCGCCGCGACGAACTCCAGCAGGGTTACCGCCATAAACGGCACCAGCAAGGGTCCGTTTAATCCCTTCAACGTGGACAGCTCGATGATCCAGAGGGCCCTCTACGTCCTCGTTGGCATCACTATCATCGGCGTCCTCTACTTCCTCATCCGAGCCGTGCGGTGAGAACTACAGTTTGATTCAAGAACAAAAACCATTGCTTCTTACAGTCGCTACGCAGTCACAATTTCGGCCTAAAATGTCCAAAATAATTAGAAATATTTACAGATCAGATGAAAGCCGAACTGAAGAGCACATTTTCCAGCTTCAAAAAATTACTTTACAGTACTTCAGTAACTTTTGAGAAGCGAAGAAAGTTTAAAAACTGGATTTATGAATGGAGTCTGCTCTACTGGTTTATTATAAGGTGCTGCACGTCTATTGTTAGCTTTCTGACATAGATTGCATTCTCGGGGTACACGGTTGTGTATATTACTGTATCTGACGAGTTATTAGAGAAATCCAAAAGTAAGAATAGAGTAACATACATAAA